ACGAAATGGCTCACATTGTTCTCCTCTCCAGCATTTCATCCTCACAAAACCCCCACGAGGTAGGTTAGGATGGAAGTGTGTCTGGCTGGCCCAAAGGTCACCCAGGAAGCTTCCATGGCAGAGTGGGGATTTGAACCTGGGTCTCCCAGATCCTAATCTGACAGTCTAACCATTTCACAGCACTATTTATCAATGGACTTGAAAGGGTGTAACTTTGTGTCAGTAACTACAGGGGATGTAGGAATGGTACAAGATACTGAACCACTATTTATGCCTGAACTTTTTGATATTTTTAGGCTCCCTTCAGTACACTTTGCACTCAAATTTAATTTGACAATGTTTTCTAAATGTTTTTGTATTTAATTTATGTCTGGGGTGTTCGTGCTGCATTTAATTTATTATTAGTATTATTGTCTTTATTATTATGTAAAAGTACAGTTGTTTAGAGACAGAAAAATAATGGCAGCCCCACCAGGGGAAAAAAATGCCCCACAAGCCACAAACTCCTGGCTACGGACCTGCCCCATATTCCTTGGTGGTCTCCCATCCAAGCACTAACCCTGCGTAGCTTTCAAGCTCTGAACAGAAAAAAAAGATTTCATCATTTTACTATTCTAACAAGAGTCACATAGCACATGTTGAATGGGTAAGTCATTTATAAATGATCCTGAGAACAGCCAATGAGAAAAGAACCTTCGAGTAACATGTTAGAACCAATCCCATCATTATCTACCACTGTATTCACATTTTAACATATTATAGTTGTAGCACTGGACATTGGTCATTTAAAACTATAGGCAAATAGGACACCTGGGCACATTAATACAAACAATGCAAGGCTTCACTGGCTCCTATCAGATAAGAATGCAGAGATTACACATTCAGTCGCTAAGTTTTGTGCATTAATTCTTACATTGCGGGAATCGCATTTTAAAAGTTCTTAAACTCAGATTTCTATTTTTGTATATTATGACTGTGTTTTTTCTCTCCCTCACATATTATGCTTACTCTGTATGTTGGTCTTAAGACCGTAATAATAAACTAAATTAAACTATAGGCAAACCTCAGTCTCTGCCTGCAAAACGGGTCTACTCCAGTAAAGAACAGGCGTACTTGAGAGAACGCGTACTGCAACCCAAATAAACTATTTCTGACACAGGGGCTGGAATCGAAATCCCCAAATGTAAGTGTGATTTTATATTATTAGAGCATCCAGAAATGGCATTTCCCTCCATGCCATGAAATTCTTTTCATTTCAAATATTTATATTCTAGTCAGATTATGGGAAATATAAATTCCTACACCGTGACAGCAGATACTGTGCAAGACAGCTGGGGATAATAGTAAATGGCAAATACCTCTCTATATTTATTAGTCTGAAACTCTGTATTCTTCCACAATAACAATCATGCTAACTCAGAGGAGACTGCAAATTTGAGGTCTGCAATCTCAGTAGGGTTGTCATGTGCCCACTGCAGATGGAAGATCTCCCACTACCAGTGGGCTTTGTCTGCCAGCACTCCAGCAGCTGGCAGGAGGAATAAAACATTTTTTTAAAATCAGTTGGCAACAGCATGACATCACTTTGGAGGGACCCAGAAGTGACCACACCTCTGTAGGAATCACAATTTCTAGAGAGGGCTGTTATCACTTTTATGTTGTTGTTGTTCAGTCGCACAGTCGAGTCCGACCTTCGCGACCCCATGGACGAACTCTCGCCAGGCCTTCCGGTCTTCTGCCGTCCTCTGAAGTTTGCTCAATTTCATCTTCGTTGCATCGATGACACTGTCTAACCATCTCATCCTTTGCCATCCCCGTCTTCTTTGACCTTCAATCTTTCCCAGCATCAGGGTCTTTTCCAGTGAGTGCTCCCTTCTCATTTGGTGGCCAAAGTATTTGAGCTTCAGTTTCATTATCTGGCCTTCCAGGGAACAGTCAGGGTTGATTTCTTTGAGGATTGACTGATTTGTTCTTCTTGCAGTCCAAGGGACTCTCAAGAGTCTCCTCCAGCACCATAGTTCAAAAGAATCTATTCTTCGGCGCTCGGCCTTCCTTATAGACCAGCTCTCGCAGCCATACATGACTACTGGGAATACCATTGCTTTGACCATGCGGACTTTTGTTGGCAGGGTGATGTCTCTACTTTTTATCATGCTGTTTAGGTTCGCCATCGCTTTCCTCCCAAGGAGCAGGCGTCTTTTAATTTCATGGCTGCAGTCACAGTCTGCGGTGATCTGGGATCCCAGGAACGTGAAGTCTGTCACTACTTCCACGGCTTCCCCTTCTATTTGCCAAGGAGTGATGGGGCCGGATGCCATGATCTTAGTTTTTTTGATGTTGAGCTTCAAGCCCACTTTTACGCTCTCCTCTTTTACTCTGAACAAGAGGCTCTTTAGATCCTCTTCACTTTCAGCCATTAGAGTGGTATCATCTGCATATCTGAGGTTGTTGATCTTTTATAGGGAACCTGAAAGAGACATCAGCTCTCTCTAGGAATTGCAAATGACTTCTTGATTCTTAGAGATCGATGATGTCACTTCCAGTTTTCCCTAGAAGTGCCATTGCTGATGGCCACCACCCATGTACCCACTGGACATCTGCAGATTGCCCAGCCACCCTAGCAACCTGTGGTGTTTGTTACCCTAAATCTGAGAGAACAAATAACCTTTCGAAAGAGAAATGCAAGTTTACTCAACTTGCTGACTGAAAACTTAGAAGAGATTATGATCAGTTCTTGACATGTCAGAGAGCCATATATCTGCAGAAGCAATACTCCCCTCTAATGTCATTGTCCCCCCTTCTATGTATATCAGTGCCCCACAAGGGACATTTTCACATGAAAACGAAGATCATGATTTTTGTTTGCTGATGCACTTTTAGCTAAAGCATTCCTACAAGTGTGTTTCCTACTGGTTGCCTTCCTACCACATTTTCCAAGTTTATGTGTCAGGTTTTCCCTTGCACATGCTGTGGTGACTGATCATATTATTTTTGAGCTAGCCCTTTCACCACCACTGATGTGGCAACATGCCACCCTTTTTTATTTGCACGTGCACTATATTGACACAGCAGGGTTTTTTAAATGGCCCAGCCCTGCCCTACCCTACCCTCAAAACAAGCAAACATGTACAGGCTTACTGGGACCCCACTAAAGCGAGGAGGAGGGAGGACCTAGTTCTCTTTCACACACCTACACAAACACCATGTTGCACATCAATTTTCCAGTAGCTACTGCCACCACCAGGGATCCTGTATTACTCCCACTTCTTTTTTTTTTTTTTAATATTTTTATTGATTTTTTCTTTCTTTATAACAATACAACTTAACACTTTTCCAACTAGTGTCGAACGCAAACGAACGTGAAAAATACGTATTATGAGCATTCTCACATTGAATGGCAAACATATAAAAATTACAGCTTTGACATATTCTTCTTCTTCTTACATTATCATAGACTGTCGGCATTGTACGGTCCAAACATTCAGCATCATTGCCATCAAACCTATAAAAATGTGAGTATATCTCTGTATTTATTCGGCATCATAGTTGATAGATGTGGCGAATTACCAAGGATATATTCGGTGAAAGGGAGCCATTTAAGCATTATACTGGGTTGAGAGTTAGCGTCATCTGATATCATAATAGAGTCAGTTATTTTATCCATAGCCAACAGTTCCCATACTTTGGTATACCATCTTGTTATAGTTATTGGTGTGTGTTCTTTCCAGCTTGCCGCAATGATCGTTTTTGCAGCTGAGAATAGGGCTGAGATGAGCTCCCTACGTATTTGAGGGATCATCTTATCTTTCCATAAATCTAATAGAAGTATTTCTGGAGCTTTGGGTATTTCATACCCTGTTATATCTTTCACATGTTTTAATACCTCATTCCAAAAGTCAGATACTATTTTACACTCCCACCAGCAGTGTATAAAAGATCCTTGCATTCCACAATTCCTCCAACAAAAGGGAGAGTATGAAGGAGATATATGATGTATTTTTTGGGGGGTGGTATACCACCTCATTAGTATTTTATAAGCCTGGAGGCGAATATTTAGTGATTTAGCTGTAAGAGTGGGGGAAGACCAAATCATATCCCAATCCTTTTCCGTGAAAATAATTGAACAATCTGTTTGCCAGCTTTTTTGGTAAGTTGCAGGATTTTTAGAGTATGATTCTATCAATAGTTTGTATAGGACCGAGATCCCTTTCTGTGTTACCGAACGTTTGTTCCCCAGCATTCTTTCAAACAAGGTATAAGCACGAACAGATTGATTACCTAGGTTCCATGTATGGAAGAGAGATGCTATTTGCGAGTATTCAAGCCAGGGTATCTCATGTCCCATTTTTTGCTCCAAGACTACTTTGGAGGCTAGTTTTTTATTCTGTAGGATATCTGCAAAACGAGTGAATTGAGATACACGCCAGATTGGAAAGGATCCTCCTGCTTTTGCAGGCGGGAACCAAGATTGGTTAATGAATGAGGTGAGTGGGGATGGAGAAGGAGCTAATATATTTTTACGTTTGTCCCACACCCCAAGCAAATTTGATAAAAATGGATTAAAGCTAATTTCTAGGCCGAGATCTTGGGTTCTCCCATAACAATGATTGGAATGAGTTGCCAGCGATGGGTTGAAGTTCTATAATTTTCCAGTCTACTTCTTCTTTAGGGTCATAAAATTTTAGGAGTCCTAGAAGTGATGTTGCTTCATGGTATAGAGCAAGATCTGGCAGGGCAAGTCCTCCTTTTGAGGTTGGTTTTTTCAAAGTATTTATACTAATACGTGGTCTAGAGGAGTTCCATATAAAAGTAGAGGTAGCTTTTTGCCAGGTTTTGAACCATTCCTTGGGGATTGCAATAGGTATCGAACGAAACAAATATAAAAATTTCGGGAAAATAAATGTTTTAAACGTTTGTATCCTTTCCATCCAAGATGAAGAGGACATAGCTTTGTTAAGGTGAGGGTCGCTAAAAAGGTCCTTGAGAGGAGAAAAATTTACTTTGAGTATATCTTCCATTCTGATTGGGATTTTGATTCCTAAGTATGACCATATCTTGGTGGTCCAGCTAAAGTCATAATTTTTAATAAAAAAATCTTTATGCGATGGCGTTAGCAAGATAGGATATATGACCGTTTTGGAGGGGTTGGCTTTAAGACCCGATATTTTCCCAAATTCATCTAAAAGACTTAGTAAGTGAGGGGTTGAGCATTCTGGGTTTGTTAAGGTTAGAGCAATATCATCTGCAAACATGCTCAGCTTCATATATTTGTGTCCTATTGGAATCCCTTGTATGCTTGGGTGTTCTCTTACGGCCTGTGCCAACGGTTCAATTGCCAGGGCAAAGAGCAGGGGTGAGAGAGGACACCCCTGTCTTGTTCCCCTAGCTAGCTTAAACGTTTCGGTATCAGAGTTATTAATTTGTATATATGCTTGGGGCATCTTATACATGGCTCTTACCGCCGTTTGAAACACCTGACCAAAGTTCATCTTTTGTAGTAGGGTATCCAGGTATCTGGGTTCCACTGAGTCAAAAGCCTTTTCCATATCTACGGAAACAATAAATGAGGAGTTGATCTTATTCTTACGACAATAATGTATAACATCCAAGATTTTTCTGGTGTTGTCGGTGATATCCCTTCCGGGAATAAAACCAGTTTGGTCTAAATTAATATAGGAACTAATAATTTTACTTATCCTAGAGGCTAGTGTGGCTGTGAAAATTTTATAATCTACGTTCAAAAGGGAAATTGGACGGTATGATTTGGTGTTAAGTGGGTCTTTATCCTTCTTTAATAGTACAATAATTTTAGCTAAGTTCCACGTGGGTGGCAGCTTCCCGCCTTGGACTATATTATTGCATACGTTAGTATAATGGGATATAAAAAGGGGATAAAATTTTTTATAAAATTCAGCCGAATATCCGTCCGTTCCAGGTGATTTGTTGTTCTTAAGCGAACGGATTGTTGCAATAATTTCTTGTTCAGTGAACGGTTCATCTAGCTGTTTCTTATGCTCCTCAGTGAGACAATTCTGTGAGTAATGTTTTGATAAAAATTCTGTTATGTGAATTTGATTCGGGTCTGTGGAGGAATATAATGATTGGTAATATTCGTGGAAAGCGTTTTTAATTTTGTTTGTAGTAACTTGTCTAATGCCTTGGTTGTCCTTAATTTCAGTAAGAGTGTTAGCCGCCCTTTTTTTACGGACTTTCCAAGCTAGTAACCGTATCGCTCTCGGTCCGGCTAACCAATACTTTTGCTTAGTATATGCCAACTGTGTTTGGATTTCCGATGTTTCTAATGCAGCTAGCTTTTTCCTTTCAGATAGTAATTTTTGATAGGTTTTTGTTCCACCATGAGCTTTAAATTTCGCTTCTAATTCCGTAATACGTGTTATAAATTCCGTTTTTAACTTTCTCTTTTCTTTTTTATAGGCTGTCGTCTGTGAAATTAAAGCACCCCTTAATACAGCTTTAAATGCATCCCAAATAATTGGTTGTGAGGTTCCACAAGAAGCATTAAATTTGAAATAGTCTGTGATATTCCTTTCAATATTTTCCGCAAAGGACTGTATTTTCAAATATACGTTATTCAGTCTCCAAGAGTGACTACGTGTGGTTTTTTCTATGTTTTGCATTGAACAAGTTACTGGAGCATGATCTGACCAGATACATATGTCAATGTCTGCTGTAGGAAATAAAGGAGTAATTTGCGTGGAGATCAGAATATAATCTATCCGAGTGTGCGTCTGATGTTGAGCAGAATAAAATGTGTAATCTTTCTCGCCTCTGTGTCTAATCCTCCAGATGTCGCTAAGATTAAATTCACTCAAGATTTTAGCCAATGGGGTATCAAAATTGCCCTTACTTTGTGTTGGTTTGGAGGTTTTACTCATTGAATGGGATTTATCCAGGCTATAGTTTGCTACGTAGTTAAGGTCCCCACCTAAAATATAGGGGTTGTTGCTAAATAAGTTGAGTTTATTAAGTGTCTCTCTGAGGAACTGGATTTGGCCGTCATTGGGGGCGTATACAGATCCCAAAGTTAAACTCACACCGTTTAATGTCCCATCTACAAATAAAAATCTACCTCTTGGGTCTGCAAGAATCTTTTCCACCTTAAAACGCACTTGTCTACTAATTATAATGGCCACCCCTCTAGATTTTGACGTGCCTGCTGCAAAAAATTGGTGGGGGTATTTGGTAGTGTTAAAACATACTTGATGTTTTTCTTTCAAGTGGGTTTCTTGTAAAAAAATTACATCATGTTTTTGACTAGTTAGGGCAGTAATTATTCTCTTTTTTTTAATATAATTATTCAGACCCCTACAATTCAAAGAAATAAAGTTTACAGGTTGAGTAGTCATAGCAACTTTAGGGTAAATTGATAGTCTTCTAATAGCCAGATTTTACTACATATCCACTCAATGGGGTACACTGATTCATAAGCCCCTGTAAATAAAGCAGGATAAACAAGCATTTTCCGTGTAAAAGCAGTTCCTAACCATGATGCCCAAGGGGCCATAGATACCATATTTCCATTTTGCGTCTTCAGATTTGTCCCCGTCATAGGCGGTATCAGCATCAGTTCCTCTTCCCTCTGTTGTTTCTTCCAGGCGCCCTTCTTTTCTTCACTTATGGTAGTATAAAATATTAAAACATACAACAAAAAACAGTTAACCTTAACAGCAACGAACAAATTCAACCACGACAGAGCTTTCCAACGGACTCTGTCTTCCTTTCCTTTCAGGATAAACATTATGTTATTTAAGTAAATTTTTCAACAACAACTAATTCGTGAGGGGCAAAAGCACTGTAACGCCCCCTCCCTCCCTCCCTCCTTTAAGTATCAAATAGTGCTTAAACAGTATAGCCAGCCTTGAACATTCACGCTATTTATAAAAGTACGAATTTTATGAATTAATATCATGGACTTCTGCATGTCCTGTTAATAAGCAATTTCAGTTATTCCATCTCCCTCTAAATCTGCGTCTTCCTGCTCTCTGCCATCTCTTGCTCTCGTTGCGCAGGTCTGGGTTGCCATCTTCCTCTGGTGTTAAGTCTGGGAGTTTTAGTTGCAGAACCTTCAGTAAGGTTACTCCAGTCTCGATATCTGAAGCATGCAGAATACGGTCTTGATGGACCACTTGTAGTTTGCAGTGTGCCACCCAGCGATATTTAATTTTGGCTTCTGTAAGTGTAGAAGTGATGGGTTTGAGATTCCTTCTCCTATTAAGCGTTTCCGGGGAGAGATCCTGTAGAACTTGGACTTTAAAGTCTTTAAAGGGTAAGTAGCCCTTAATTCGAGCCTGATTCAGAATGGCCGTTTTGGTGCGGAGATTGGAGAAGCGAACGACAATATCTCTCGGCCACGTGCGTTTCTGTTGGGGTTTGTCAGGGCCCAGTCGGTATGCATAGTCTAGAAGCGGAGCCACCCCGTCTTCCAATTTTAACGTAAAGGCGATCCAACTTGCAATGAAGGAGGTTAACTCCGTGGTTTCTTCCGCCTTTTCAGGCATCCCGCGGAATTTCACATTATGGGCTCTGAGTTGGTTGTCTAACATTAATAGTTTATCTGTTGCCCATTCCTCCCTTTGCATCAGATATTTAGTCTCTTCTTGGATCGCTAAACTCGTTTCCATTGCCGCCTCTGCCGTTTGGGACGTTTTATCTAGCGTCGCTTTAATTTCGGCAATTTGGGAGGCCAGTGGCTTAATGATTTCAGCAGTACAAGCTGCCATGTTTTTCTCCAGTTTCTCCAGGGTCGAAAAAAATTCTTCCCTGGAGATCGCCATGCCTCCGCCTCCCACCGGCTCTTCCCGCTCGTCCGCCATTTTGGTTTCTTTCGCGGCCTCTAGCTGCGATGCGGGGGGTGAACGATTAGGGGTAAAAAAGGTGTCTACTGACCTCGTAGATATGCGATTCACCACTGTATGATGTCTCTCTTTTTTCCCCATGCCGTTTGTACTTTTTAAATTTCTTTCAGCCGGCTTTATAATCACTCGGAGGGAGGAGGTCGCGGGAGCTCCACTTTTAAGCGTCCATCAGCCTCCGCCGCGACGCCACGCCCCGTCTTACTCCCACTTCTAGCCACTCTGGAGATCTTTGGTCCTCCAGATAATTGAGAACTGTGCTTGGTCTGAATGAAAAAGAGAGCCAGAGAGACCCTCTCACCCGCACCCGCACCCCCTCGTTTGGTAACTCATTAATCCCGTGCTCTCACCTAGCATGTCCTTCAGCAGTCAGCATGCAGATGAGTTTCCTAAACAGTCTCACAGCCAGCCCATTAAAGAGGAAAAAGGATTAATAGCTCAGCATACTATTCCACTGTAAGAAAAAGTCCCCCCCCCAAAAAAAAACACTTTGTGGTTGTCTCCTACAGCAGTATAACAACATGATTGCAAGCTTTTTTCTTTTTTTTTTAATGCCATGCATTGCCAAGGAAAACAACAACAGCTCAGAAAAAAGGAAGTGGCTACGAAGCAGGGCATGGAAGGGGCTGGACCTTTAAAGGTGCAGCAAACTGTACCGACTCCACAAAAAACACTTCCAGTGTGCTCCTTCCACAACCATCATCACGAAGGTGGTCTGAAAAAAAAACAGGGGGAAGTTGTGAGGAAATCAGCAGAGCAATGACTGGGAAACAGTACTTTGTAAGGTTGGGGAGAAACAAATGTAATCAATTAAGAGCTGGGCTGCAGCAAAAACTCCATACCTGTGGAGGTTGGACAGGGTTTCAAAGATAGATGGAGATGCTTACTTTATTCAAGAAAGCTAACTAAATGGACAAAAGTCTATGCAAACACAAGACGTTCTGAAGACAAAGTTCTAGAATGCAACTTCAGCATGATCTCCGGGCAACAGGGGGAAAGGCAAAGTGCAAGCAGCTTACCCTTTCCAAGGAACGTCTCCTGCATTTATGCATGAACCCCATGGAAAATAATGTGTCAAACAGGGCATTTAACATGCAATTCCCACTTTCAATTTGAAATGCTGCTGTCAAAAGTAAGCCCTTGAGGGTGACAGGTTGGTCACAAACAAAACCACAAAATGCTGGAAACTGAATCTTCACAACTCCAGGGTAATGTGCTATCACCAGTCCCCTTTACTAACCCACCAACCAGAGACCAAGGGACTGAGTCTCCAGCCCTTCTGGGTCTAAATCAAGAAGTCAGCTCTGCAAGATGGGATGCTTGCAAGTTGAGTTCCAAGAAACAGTTATTCTGGTAGCCAACAAGGGCTCCAGTCCTCCTCCTTTGCCTGGAGGAAAAAGTATTGTACCTTGAACAGGGAATGGTGTTATTTACCTCCATTCCACACACACAAAAAAGCTTCAGCTCCCCATTTCCACACATTCAAACTCTATTGAAGGGACATTTTTCTTCAGACCTGTAGGCAACTCTATCTATAGCACACAGCTGATACTAAAAAGATTCTTATAGTACCAAGTATCTGATTTTAAGTAAAATTCCCAGCATTCTACAATAGGAATCCACATACTAGTCTCAAAAATCTAATTGGCAAGTTAAGAAAACTTTTAAGTCTTTAGCTTTCAGTCAAGTATCATTCAACAACTATTAAACACATTTTTACCCATTAGTGGAACATTAGAAATTCCATGAATTTGAAGTTTGTTATATTTCCATAGTTCAGTTTATATTCTTTACTGGATTTATATCTTTTGGCCAAACTTTTCCAGGCATAAATAAAACCATTTACTTTGCTGGCTAGTGCATAGGAATACATGACTGGCACCTTTATGAATGTTGGCTGAAGAACGATGGTTTATAGAAGGGCCAGAAACACTAAATCCCATTATTCGAAATCCATTTTTAAAGCATCTAATAACCATGTGGGGAGCATATCAAACACAAAACTAGGCAAACACAAGAAGCTTTTCACCCACTCAAGTCCACTTCAGATGCTAGCAAACCTTGTATGCAAGCATTCCTATGTAGCGATCAATATGCAACACATGTATAGGCTGTCACTTCTGACCATTATACATGCACACATATGCTGCATCAACATAGGCTATAAAGTCAGAACTGTTCCCAGCTTCCCAACACATGCACCCCACATGTACATGTGGCAAAATCTATCATTGTCTAAGAATCCTAATCAAGCAAGCACATGTTGTGGGAGAAATAGCTCATACATGCAAATCTGCCTATGAGTTATCCCAAATCTCAGGGCTGGCAGATCAATTGAACCTTTTAGTGAGTTGTTGGATGCTTGTGATTTTCCCAGCTCTCCTGAGTCTCTACCTATTGGCAACCAGTTCGTTAAATATATATATATATATAGTGGTATAGCCAGGTCCTATTACACATCAACCCATAGCAACCTCTTTCTTTGAGGCTCATTTTCTTAAACATGCCTGCTTGGATTCTGGACAGCAACAGAGGCAGATCTACTGTGAGACTAATGAAATTTAAGGGATTGGGGCACCCTGAAGCAACTTTTTTTTTAATGAGTGAATTTTTCAACAAAAATTAATGGAGTTTTTAAAGTGTTTGTTATTAAAATAAGGCTATTTTAATGACAGAACCATAAGCCAGTGGGTTGAAGTACTTAATACTGACCTTAGAATAGAGCAAGTTCAGTGTTGTACCTTCCCCTAGGGTTGTTCCCAGCAGCCTAGCAGTTCAGCCTGGCCCAGGAAGAAGCAACAGCACTATAAAGGTGGGGAAAGGGCTGCACAGATCTTGTTGTTTCAAGGCCTGATTTGGATATTATTTAGAACTGTTGCAATACATGTTTTTAGTATTCTGTTTGTTAATGCTTCTGGGAAGTTTGGCCTGGCCCAGGAAGAAGCTGCACCATAAGGGGAGGGAAAGGCCTGCACAGATGTTGTTTCAAGGCCTGCTTTGGATTACTGCCAGTAAATGTTGGTAATCTGGTGCAAGTGTTAGAGATCTTTTAAAACAAAGGTGAAGTGGGATTCAGGATCCAAGTGAGAAGAACTGCAGCCTCCCAGATACAGCCTGGAAATTTTATCTGATGTTTCACTATTGTGAGGTTAACCTGGACTTACAATATATGTATTACTTATGTGTTTAGACTTTTTGTACTGTGCATATTTTGTGGATGCTGAAGATATCTGTAGCCAATAATATCCTAAAAAGCCTTGCTATGAAGTAATAGCAACTGGACTGGGATGAACAAGGACTCCTATGAAAACTTCCATGCTTTTGTTTATTGTTTATTGTAATGTTAAATTGTAATGTTTATTGTAATGTTAAATTGCATCTGTTGCATTGTCTCTTTTATGTTTGTGTTTAAGTGTGTTATTCATAAATACATGTAGTTGCAGTAGAACTAATAACAATAACACCTTTATGGCTGTAATTGTAGAGATCAAGATCCCAAGAATAGCAATGAGTTGAAGAAAGTACTTAAGTGGATACCAAAAACACAAACTCAAGGAGAAATGATCTGATGAAATTTCTAAATGTCAAAAATTATCAAACTATTTTACAATGTCAGGTCAAACTTTGTCAACACCTACAGCTGAAACAAACCAAGCAAGCACCAGTGAAGCCAGTGATGGTGCACAAACCATAGGAA